TTATTAAATTATATTAAATTTTTGTTATTACATGTAATATAAATATATAAATTTTAATATAGTAATTTTAATTATTTTAAAAAGTTTAAAACAAAAAATTTTTAGTATAAAAAGTTATAAGGGGTTGGCTACTTTTGACCGCTACTGTAAATAAAATTTTAGATGAAATTATTTGTAAAACAATCTATTTTTAAATAAATTTAACCGTCCGCCAGAACTGTATTTATTACCAGTTTAATTATTACCTGAATGCCAGATTACCAACATGACCAACAGATAATGTTACCTAAGTAATTAAAGTGAAGTCGCTTACCAATCAGAAACATCTTTAAACACTTGGGTTTCCTTTAATTTATTTTTCTTAGTCTTCATTTGATACTATTCAGAATTACATCTAGAATCGATGGACGTGAAAAAAAGGATCCTATTGCGAAAATTTAGACTGCTTTAAATACGCAAAAGGATAAGCTACCGTGTTATTTTACAGGCTCGGACCTAGACAACACACTCAGAAAGGAAATAGAAAATGCCGACCGGTATAACATAAAAATTGATCTATCTATTTGGAAGAATCTCAGTTAGGTTTCGGCGTTACTACATGGAAATCCTCTGACACTTCGAAAATTATTCAAGATATTATGAAAAGACTCAAAACATATTTTACGACACGTTAGGAGAACATAAAATTATGTATAAAGATGCAGAATGCCGCCCAGGATTAGACTTTGGATTCAATGATGCCTTTCTTTTTACCGACGTTCAATTAAAAAACATAATTACAGATCCAGGCTGTCCACCGCATCCTGCTTTCCGTTTTGTCGCTTCCACTGTAATCCCAGGTTTCCCACATCGTAGTTATGAAATTGTCACTAATGCTCGTGAAATTTACTAATTGTCGTGATAGTATGAAAGTCCAGCAATTTTTCAAGTCTAACGGGGATTAGAACATGCGTAACAGCTTAAAGAAAAGTTCCTTGCTGAAAAAAAACAGTAATAATAATGGTGTTGTGTGTTCTTGGAGCAATTATTATTTCAAATGGAACAAAAAACTTTTTTACTTTTGTCAGTAAGAAAGACGAAGAAATTGCTCGTGCTGCAGACGAATCATATCTACTAACAAACAAGCAATCGATGAAATCTATTCGGTGGTGTCTCAGCCTGTAGATGATGAGCAAGTCCGGTTGTCTTCAGAAGGTAAAGTTTTCAATTTCAAAATTTATTCTTAATCGATTCTTATATTTAATTATAAAATAGACTACCGTGGCTACGAATTACGATGATCATGATTTCGTAATTTCCCAAATGTGTGTTTATCACTTTTAAATTATATCATAATATACAACAAATTAGACACTTTTATCGAAACTATTTAGTGTAATGAATGTTCGCACGACTTTAGCATGTACAGCAAAGAGCACATTGATATCCGTAAAAGCAAGTTGTTCTTCAATGCCATTTGTGAAGGCCGAACCTCTTCCCTTATGATTCACGACAATGCTTCCGATTTCGGCCATTTTTCGTGAAGACATCGGATGGATTTACATGGAACGCCGCTGAGGTTCTCAACATTATTATGAGCTTCATTGATTTGCTATTGGTCCGATATCGGTATAAAGCTGATTACGCCAAACATGATCACGAATTGCGCAGCCATTTGCCGCTGCTTCTGACGGACGAGAATCAAGATGCTGAATACAATAAAAATTTCTGTACAACACAGAAAAAGTGGTTGACTGGTTTTCGAAATATTGAATCAAGTCAATTGGAAATCCGAAAAGGAAATATAGCCAATCAATGCAAAAATCTAGTGATGACGAACGGATACGGAGTCTTTGCATTAATTGTCTTCAAGTTCATAAAGAATTATGCTAAACGATCTTCCCAAAAGGTTAGACTTCTGAAACAGGCTCGTCAAACCAAACAACTTTACGTGAATGCATATAAAGATATCGTTTCAGTTGTTGTGATTTTTGGAGCCATTTTCACCAATGAGAAAGGTGGAACCCTTGAATTCATGAATTATATGGATAAACGGATTGCATCAGCGGTGAATTATTGTCGGCCTGTTGAACGAGCGCCATATATTGGTAATCTACCTCGCTTTGAATGTGTCTAATTTTGATGAAATAATACTTGATAAATTCAATAAGTCCTCTTAAATCAGACGAATACTCAAGACGATATTTTCACCCGCTTTTGGAATGAAGGATTCCTTAATTAAATATATTCCACTTTATGGGAAGGCTCATTTTGTTAAAAACCCAAACTCTAAATTCGTTAGATTTGATGGTCACTCATCGACGTGGGATGAAACCTCACTTGAGGATGAAATCTCACATGAAACACTTATGGCGCACGTGCCTCCGTGTTTATCCCACAAAAAAGTGAATTTCTGTTTTCCATTCAGTATTCCGTTCTCTGCATATTAGACGGGTTGCTAAAAGGATTTAATTTGTCATAAAGACGAACCGAATGAATTACTTGGTTGACATCTGCCATTTTCGGCAATAAATCGCATGTGTACATCGGAAATTATTTTATTAAATTCTGTGATCTACCTATACCTATTCTGAGTTAGTTCAGGGACACGGAAAAATTCCGTTTTATTCCGAAATTGAATTTTATCAAATATATCAATTATTATTATAATCGTAAGTGCACGAAAAGATTCTTGACAAAGATTTTATTCTTATAAAAGTGTTATAGATACATTATTATTAAGTGACAAATTTAATATTTTAAAATTATACAGTATTAGAAAAAGCTTGAAAATTAATCATTTATTATGATAGCTATATCTGTATATGAATGATCAGTAATATATATAACCAGTAATTTTCTTCTAAGAAGAAATTATCAGAGTAATCAACTAATATTAATAGAGCTTTATCAAGCTGAAGAATCTTATAAGATATTTTAAAAAGAAAAAGAAAATAATAAAATCAAAGAAAGCTATAATTGTGATAAGTTTGATCACTTTGTAAAGAGCTATTATTCTAAGTATGAAGTTAAAATATCATCTTTTATATATATATTATATCTTTATAATTCTATTTATTTTTTAGAAATGTCAGAATATTAAATATATCAGAATTTTGAAAATGTTAGAATTAAGAATACTTATTAAAATTTATAAATTTAACAGATAATATAATATAAAACTGAAATATTAATTAATTATTAGTGTGTAATTCATCTTAATTATTATAAATCTTATTATAAAACTTATTATAAATCTTTTTTGATTTTGATAATATAGCAGATTCAAAGTTAGTTCTTGGATAGTTTTGAATAATTTAAATAAAAAATTATTAGTAATTATAATTATATAAATATTTAAATAAAATTTTGAATTAATTCAAGAATTAATCTTAAATAAATTTGTCAAAAGTCAAATACTAATTAATTAATTTGATTAAAAATAAAATTATAAATATATAATAATATTATAATATAATATAATTAAAAGAATATTACTTTTTTAATTATTAATATCAATAAATAATTAAGCTTTTATTAAATATAATAAAATATTATAAATATATAATATATAATTGAATCTTAATATAATAAAGTATTAATTTTAAATTTTTGAAAATTTTACTAATAATTTTATTATATCAAACTTATTTATATAAAGAAAATGATTATATATTTTTTATATTAAGATTTAATTATATATTATAATAATTAATATAAATATTAGAATATTGATTTAATATATAAAATATATATAATTTTATTAATTTTAAACTTATATAACTTATTTATTAATAAAAAAAATAATATTTATTTTCAAGCTTGAGGTATAAAGAATAGTAATAAATTAATATTAAACTAATAATATTTGAAAATCTGTGAAAATTATATATATGATAGATTTATTCAAATTTTTAATATAAAATAACAAGTACAATGATGACCAAAAATAATAACTCAGGGGCTAAATTTATTAATAAAATATAATAAAAATTAAAATTTTCTCTTTATATTAAAATTTATAATTTTAATAAGAAATAATTTTTATTTT